CGCTCTAACTCTGCTCTGACTCCACTCTGACTCTGACTCCACTCCAACTCCACTCTGACTCTGACTCCACTCTGACTCCAGTCTGACTCCACTCTGACTCTGACTCCACTCTAACTCCACTCTGACTCTGACTCCACTCTGACTCCACTCCAACTCCACTCTGACTCCACTCTGACTCCAGTCTGACTCTGACTCCGCTCTAACTCTGCTCTGACTCCACTCTGACTCTGACTCCACTCTGACTCCAGTCTGACTCCACTCTGACTCTGACTCCACTCTAACTCCACTCTGACTCTGACTCCACTCTGACTCCACTCTAACTCTGCTCTGACTCCACTCTGACTCCACTCTGACTCCACTCTGGCTTGGACTCCATTGTAACTCTAATCTGGCTCTAAGATAACTTTGATGATCGATTGAACACACAGATTAAATACAAAATGCAAGAAAACGCTTATAACACCTCACAAAAAGGCTAACAGTGGCAGCTGGGTTAGCTGCTATTTCTGTATGTTTTAGACCTAACCCATACTGACCTTTGACCCCTATTCACCTTAACAGCTGGTGATAACAGCCTTTTCTTATTCCTTCTGTTTGACTAACTCCTATTTTACTGAGTCATACTTCCTGTATCATTTCCAAATTAAAAGCCCTCCATCAGTTTGCATTGAGCCTTTTATTGAGAAACGATTGCAGAAATGTCACGTGATCTGTGCCGTGAGGAAGACGGAGAGAAGACGAAGACGCTCACAGAGACGTTAAGGCCTGCTGATGTTGGCGCGGTTCATGAATCCACTTCCTGTCTCTCTGCAGGTTTGATGAGAAGCTGAACAGATGACCCTCTCACACGTCACACTGGAGGGACCCAGGAGGCCACAGGGTCAGGAAGCCTGCTGACCTTTGACCTGTGGCGTGTACATATGAGCAGACTGCTGTACGTCTGTGTGCTGGTGGCGTTCGGACTCGGAGAGGACGAACATGCTAACGGGAACTCTGCTGCTTCTTTCCTCTAAACTTGAACAAACGCTAACTTACTGTTTATTTATTGGCGTATTTAAGACGGCGGTGAGAGCGAGACACCCGACACATCGCGCCGTCACGTTTCTGTCTGAGCCTCAGATCTATGGACGTGTGGGGGGTGGGGCTAATCGGGCTCTGTAATCCAGGTGATAGAATCTGTTTTGGTTTTCATGTCCATGTGAAACACGTGAGTGGAGCTTCACTGCGGAAAGTTGCTGACTGGCTGCTGACTGTGTTTCACTTCCTGTAATAAAGCATGGATCAAGCAGCCTGACTCGTCCTGTTTGTTTCATGAGGTCCCGTCTACCTGAAAACGCGTGACGCTGACTCACGGTTTGCGACCTCACCGCCGTTTCAGGGTCAGCAGCGGGCTCTTAGGCTTGACGAGGTAATGTTGACAGCTGTGGACAGGACAATTATTTAGTTTTTCTTTTTAGTTTTGAGTTCACAGAATTATTCATTTTCCACACAGTGTAAACGCGAGTGCTTACTGGCTGAAATGATTGTCAGGTGACCTGTATTCTTCTTTCTGAATGGCCTGCAGGGAACAGCTCAATCCAAACATCAACAGTATCAACACCAACGTGAGTTCAGCCCACTGAACTGTGTCAGAGCGCCCTGCTGTGACTGTGATTTACATCTTTTCTCTCACACGTCCAAACCTTTCCGTGATCACTCTCGTCTGTTTTTTACAGCCTGTGCTCGTCTCCAAGTGCTCTACGTTCAGCTTTCCAAAACGCACAATTTCAAAATAAAAGCTCAAAGGTGTTGTGTTAAATCATTATTGTGAAAAGTGAAAATCACAGTAGCACGCACACTGCTGCTTTCATAAAGGTGTCAGTATTGGAAAAACTATGACATTGGGGGTGTCCAAGTTCATGGGCTGCATCCTCCTGAGGCCGCATTTGTAGCCCGATTACGTCACAGCGACGCGATGAAGCCTGTCCAAATTCAAAAGCTGCTCCAAATGCGTTCCCCTTTTCCCAGATTTGAAGGATGGGTCGGGTGTATCCTTTGTGGCCTATATTATCCCAGAATTCATATTCATATTCCAGTTTCCAACAATGGCAGCAGCTACTTTTAATATTACTCTGTGTCACAAAACATACTTTCAGGCAAAAATGTAGCTGCGTGAACTTCAAACATCTGCTCGGCTTATCACGATTTCACATATTTGCAAAAGTGCTCCGACGTTTTGGGAGACGAACTCCCCGCACATCGTTTTCAACCCCACCGTGGTCTTTGGCTACTCAGGTCAAACATGATATATAAGTCAATTAGATACTTATAAATGTCATTGTTTGGCTTTTTTCAGTGTCTGATTTGTTTGTGAGTAAATCGGTTTGGCTGAGATTAAAGTTATAGTTCTCACACAGCTGAATAAACATCAAAAAGAAAACTGATTAAACAGAAGTATGAGATGGTCGAGAGTTTACTCCAGTGTTCTGTTATGTAAGCAGTGTGGGCTGTTTCACCTGCACCAGAACTCAACTGTTTACATACAGTGGCTTGCAAAAGTATTCGGCCCCTTTCAACTTTCCCACATTTTGTCACATTACAGCCACAAACATAAATCAATGTTATTGGAATTCCACATGAAAGACCAACACAAACACGTGAGGAGTGGAACGAAAATCAGACATGATTCCAAACATGTTTTACAAATAAATAACTGCAAAATGTGGGAAAGTTCAAGGGGGCCAAATACTTTTGCAAGCCACTGTAAATAGGGGCGTGGCCTCTGTGACCGACAGGTAATCATAACAAACTGTCTGTGAGGGCTGAGCTTTAATGAGTAAAATTTGAGGATTTTGATTGGATGTGACCTCACAAACTGGAAGAGCATTCGGCAAAACACAAAAAGAGCACCACCCCATGCACATGTGAGACCGTACATGGACAGTTATAAAAGTGTGAAAGTATCTTTTACGTGAGCCGTGCACCGGCTCCGGCTGTGTGTCAGCTCTCAGGTTTCCTGTAGGTGGTGATCAGCTGTAGCTGGATGGTGATGGGTGTGAGCTGGTGGTGGTGTAGTGTATAGGTATGTGTGGGTGGAGTCAAACACAAACAGCCCTCAGTGTTACAGTAAAACAATATAAAGATTAAAAAATAGAAGTCTAATATACAACACAATGCAGTCTTTCATAAACAACAGTGTCCAACACAACCATAGTGACTGTGGGCAAGAGTTCGTGTGTGGGGGGGGGGGGGGCAGTCAGTGAAAGGGTGATGGTGGATGTTCAGTTTGTTTTATTTATGTCTGGGGGGGTTCAGAGGGAAGAGGTGGATGCAGGTCTGGAGTTGGTGTGTGTAAGAGCAGGGAGAGAGTTCAGCATCCTGACAGCCTGATGGATGGAGCTGTCTCTCAGTCTGGTTCTAGCCATGGCGTACAGCTCCACCATAGCCGGACTGGCCATCGGCATTTGCCCGGTGGGCCGATGGGTTTGTTTGTTTTTTTTCCGTTTTTTTCCGTAACGGTATACACACTGAAAGGTGGTGGATTGGCCAGATGCTGGGAGATGTGTAAAAATAACTCAGTTGTTTGGCTATTGCGGAGCTTCCACAGATTCAGTAACATTAGCAAGTGATGGAGGCCAGCAGATGCAACACGCTGGCAGGTGGATGACGGAAAGGCAGGAGGAGCAGAGACCCGAGGCGATGAACTGAACTTCAGGTAAGAAGTTATGACCTGCAGTCTATCTGGGTCAGATATGAACCAAGTTTAGGTGGAGTTTATTTTCGTTTTGCTGACTTTTTACAGTCAGTTACAGTAACTCGTACTGCGTACTAGCTAGCATGACGGAGTTTATATACTGCTGGGCGGGTGCTATGATGTTACTGATGTTGAACTTGTTTTATCTTATTTTATTTATAAGGTTAGTTAGTAGAGTTTCCAACTGTCCCGTAAAAAAAACGGAATCGTCTCGTATTCAGAGAAAATATTATGCGTTTCGTATTGAAGTGAAAAGGAACACAGTTTGTCCCGGACTTCAGCTAGAATGAAAAAGACACAAAGCTGGAGTTATTCTGTGTAGGGAAGTTATGAACTGTTTCTGAGAGACTAATAACACCAGGATCCTTTTCTAAGTAGCTGACAGCTGGTAACTGTGCAGGGGCGGGTCTAGCAAAGTGTTGCCAGGGGGCCAGGTAGGGCATTAATATGTTTTGTTTAGGGTTATTGTACATAGTAATTTTTTTAGGGTCCCATCATAATTTCTTCAGAAGTACTGTATATGATGCCAGTATTTCCCACATTTTCTAGATACTGTACCAGTGCTGTGTGTAAAATGCCATCAAAAAGTCAATTAAGTTTTATTCTTTCTCAGCTGTCTTTCTATCTCCTTTCACTTTGTAAAGGTTGCCATGTTAGAAAGAATATTTTGCCCTGCCATGCTGTTTATTGATGTGGAAAATGAATGGTTTATGAAAATATATCTAAATCTGTCATCAGTAATCAGTAATGATCATGTCTCACCTCTAGTCTCCTCTGTCTTAATTTCAGGTTTTCACCATGTGTTGTAGATAGTTCAGGTTAACTCGACCAAGCAGTCTACTTTCGGGTACTGTTTAGAATACCAGAATAAGGAGGATGGTGTAGATTTAAGTTTATGAGACTGATACATATATACCAACAAGACAGCGTCCATCACTGTGACAACAGCGTTTGTTTTCATTCAAAGGCTTTATGGTTTTTCCTATAATACCTGGTGGGCCGGTCTCTAGTCAAAATGCCCAGGCCGATTTTTTTGTCCCAGTCCAGCCCTGACCTCCACCCAGGCATAGTGATGGGTGTAAGCTGTGGATGGAGGTGTAGTGTATGGCGATGGGTGTAAGCTGTGGATGGAGGTGTCGCTGCCTGTGTATACGAGCTGTTTACTGAAGGTTTCTATTCTCACTCTGATGACTCCGCTCTTTGGGCGCTCTCTCTCATTTATGGCCCGCCAGCTTGACGCCCCGCCCACAGTCCATTTCACGCACTGTTCACGCGTCCACTTCGCGCTCCGATTGGCTGACGTTCTGGGCCGGCCAATCACAGAGTTCCCTGTAGCAGAGGCTTGGCGAGTTCACGCTGTCCGCACGTGCTGCTCGGAGGGTAGCGGGACCCCCGCCCCTCCTGCGGTATAAAACGGGCCGGGGTTGTTTACAGAAAGAATCACAGACGGTACCGACAGCCTGGCCCGGTGGCACTTCCAGTTCTCTAATTTAGCAGCTTCCCTGGTTCATTAAACCCTTATTTCATTTTGTTTTCGCGCCTCGGTGGCGGTTTCTGCACTAACCGGACATTTCACCGTCGCTCCGTGACACTCTGACCCCTTGACTTCCGGTCCGTTTCGGCCGTCGTCATGGTTCTGTCCCCGGCCAGCAGGCTGCGGCTGTTCCGGGTGGTGTTTTCCGAACCCGGCCGCGCCTTCTATAGCAGCGGGGACAAGCTGTCCGGCTCCGTGCAGCTGGAGGCCGAGCAGCCCTGCAGGGTGGACGGCCTCCGCGTCACCGCCGCCGGCTGCGCGCGCGTCCAGCCCCGCAAGAAGCGCGGGAGGAGCCAGGAGGTGGAGTACCTGAAGTACGACGAGGATGTGCGGCTGGAGGAGGCGCTTAGCCCAGGTGAAGCTCCGAGATCAGACAGTACAGGAATTAGTTAATCAATACAGGTATCGATTCAAAGCTCACATAAAAAAAACTTTATTATCCAGATCAGTTAGAGAAACACGCGGAAGAATCTGAATCTGCATGATTTTAGGATTTCCTGCAGTCTCTCAGTGATTGACTGATGTAATGCAAACTTTAATTGTACTTATAAAAACCCACGAATGAAGGAGGAGATTGTCTTCAGGGACCAGAGCAGTGTCTGCTTCACTCTGTAAACATGTTCATTTTAACATAGGAGTCTGCGGGTCTGGCTCACTACTGTCTCTGCTGGACTCCAGAGGAACTGCAGGATGTGAGACAGGATAAAAACAAAAAGAAACGGAGGAAGTCGCTCTTTTTACTCCCAAGAAGTAAAAGCTCCATTTTCTGCAGTCAGAGAATTGAGCTTTAATGTGAAACAGGAAGTTGTTCATTACTTATTTCCTGTGTCTCAGACTCTGACGGCTGCTTCCTGCTTCCTGCTGGTAAAACCTTCAGCTTCCAGTTCGGCTTCGAGCTGCCGCCACCCGGGTGAGTTTCCAGTCCCGCCGCTGCTTTCTGATGGCGTGTTGATCATGCTGCTGAACGCCACTGCTCTGCTTTCAGGTGCCTGGTGTCGTCCTTCAGAGGGAAGTTGGGCTCGGTGCGGTATTACGTGCGGGCCGAGCTGCGCCGCCCGTCCGAGCATGTCCTGCAGTGTGAGAAGGAATTTGAGGTGGAGGAGCCGCTGGACGTGAACCGAGCCGACCTGCTGGTACGAAACGCCCGGGAATCAAACTTCAGACAGGAAGTAGATTCTGGTTAATGCACATCTCCTGCCGCTGACTTCCTGTTCTACTGTTAGATGTTCATATCAGACACGGAGAAACGCTCAGTTTGTTACAGGCTTTTCTACTCTCTGATCTCTGTGATGTCATAGAGAGGGCTAGAACCCTACCCATCTGTTGTCAGTGAGGGGTAGCCAGTCAGAGGATAGTAGTCTTAAAGGGGGTGGAGCTCAAAGTAAGGGGGGCTCAGTATCAGTAAAGAAGGATTATTCTGAACTGTGCAGTTCAGAATAATCCTTGCATAAGGCCATGCAGCACAGCTCTGCTGTGAGATGTCACCTGTGCTGCTCATTAACTCCTCCCCCTCCCCTCAGGCGCCGGTGGCAGCCTCCGCTCAGAAGAAAGTCACCTGCATGTTCATCCCTGATGGCCAGGTGTCCATTAGCGCTCAAATCGACAGGAAGGGCTTCTGCGAGGGCGAGGACATCTTCATCAACGCCAAGTTCGAGAACACGTGCTCCCGCATTGTGGTGCCGAAGGCTGCCATCATCGCCAAACACTCGTATGCCGTGGACGGACGCACCAAGGTGACGCCCTAACCTTTACTTTCAGACGTGAGTGCCATGGGACAGGAAGTGTGACCTGTGCGGTTTCCTGTGTGCAGGTGTTGCGTCAGAAGCTGTCGGCGGTGCGAGGAAACCACATAATTTCTGGGATGTGCGACATGTGGCAGGGCAGGACCATCAAGGTGCCCAAACTGAAGCCCTCTCTGCTTGGCTGTGACATCATCCAGGTGGACTACGCTCTCATGGTGAGAGACCACTAATGTTGTCATAAGATCAGAAGTAAAATGAGTAAAATGGAATGATGCAGGCTTAACCTGTAGCCCCACCCCCTCAGATCTACCTGCACATCCCCGGCAGCGAGAAGCTGACTCTGGAGCTGCCGCTGGTCATCGGAACGATCCCGTTCAGCGGCGTGGGCAGCCGGACGAGCAGCATGTGTAGCCAGGCCGGCTCCAGCTGGACCTCCTTCCCCTCGGCTCCACCCAGCTACAGCAACATCCACCGCGACCTCAGGGTGGACGGCCCCCGCACGCCGCTGCTCCACGACTACGATGGCACCGAGGACGAGGAGGAGGAGGGTGGGCTCATAATGAGAGCGCCTGAACTTCACTGCCCCCCTCCCCCCGTATACAGTGAGGTGAGCGCGCCAGTTTAACTTAGTGTGATCTCAGCGACAGCAGCAGCACTTTGGACATCACGGGGTCGTTTGGCGGTCTGCTGTCAGCTAATCCTGTCCTGATGATGTCATCCATTCGTTTTTCTTTCTCTTCTTCAGGTAGATCAGAACTCTGAGAACTCCTCTCAGGTGGTTCCCATCTTCTGAGGACAGCGTCCCCTTTAAACGGTCCAACGGTCTCTCCACCAGGACACGGGTTGAGGGCGGAGCCTCAGCTCTGCCTCGAGATCTGACCTGACAGCCATTCCCCTCTGATTCAGCTGTTTCCTGTCAGTGAAAACAGAGAAAATGTTTGTTTTTTTTAGATACTTGTTGTTGCATTATTTACTGTAGTAACAGGAAGTTACCTGTGTGTAAGATTTTGTAAATAAGAGCCTATTTTTTATTTTTTTTATGTGATACATGAGTTGAAAATGTTTGGGTGTTTTCAGTTTGTTCCCAAACAGCAAAAATAAAGCGATCATGAAGAATGTTGACTTTTATTCATTTTCTTTTTGTTGTAGAAACTAAATATTGCTACAGTTTCATGAAATGAAGATGAGTACAAAAACTGAAAAAACAGCCTCAATGGCAAAGTGCAGTGCCCCGCCAAAGTAAAATAGTGTTGGCCCGCCATAATAAAGTACAGAGCAGGGCTGTCAGATGAACTTTGAATTTTGTTTCTTTCAGAATTAAAATACTTTCTGAAAGTGTTCTCCTTTAATGATGATGAGGAGGAGGAGCTTAGAGGAAAAATAAGTTGTGTTTAAATGTTTCGGGTTCTCCACTTCCTGTTTGATGTTGTTAAACACGGTGAGAGGGGCACTTCCTGCTCTGTGATTTAAACATGTTCAGGTTTACTTCATAACAGCACTGTCAGTGCAGCTCTCCTCACCCCAGCCAGTCCCTGAGCCTGGTTCTGCTGGAGGTTCCTTCCTGTTAAAAGGGAGTTTTTCCTTCCCACTGTCACCAAAGTGCTTGCTCACACACGAGGTCGTCTAAATGGAGTTTCTGTGTAACACTGTAGTCTTTGCCTGACAGTATAAAGCTCCTTGAGCCGGCTGTTCTTGTGGCGGTGCTATATCACTTAAATTGAATTGAACTGCCCCCTGCTGGCAGGAGAAATGAACACGTGACTGAAACATGTCAAATAAACAAGAAAAAACAGTCCACACATAACATCCAGAGATACCTGACACAGAGGACCACAAATGTGTGCGTGTGTGTGTGTGTACTGAAGTGGGTAAGAGGTCGCACAGATGCATTTCTGAGCAGCACAGGTGCATCTGTATTTTTAACTTCCTGTTTTTCCTGGAAAGATGAGGACACGCTGGACAAGGGCGTTTTTAGAAACCACTGACTCACTGCAGTGTGTGTGTGTGTGTGTACACGTTTAGACGTTTTTGTGAGGACAGAGAATTGGCATGCCACTATACTTGTGGGGACCAACAGCCCTTATGGGGACATCATGTCTGTCCCTGCGGGTTTGAAGGTAATTTTGAGGCTCAAAATGTGGTTTTAGTGTCAGGGTTACAGTTGGGTTAGGCATTCATTTTTGATGGTGAGGGTAAGCAGCTAGGGAAAGCATTATGTCAATGGGATGTCCTCACTAAGATATGAAAACCAGTGTGTGTGTGTGTGTGTGTGTGTCAGCGGTGGTGTGTGATTGGCTGAGGATCAGCGTGACAGCTTCTGACTCAGCCACTCATGTTTCCAGCTCTGCTTCCACTTTTAGAGCCTGCAGGCAGAAAGCAGGGCAAAGGTCAGTATCACAGCCTAATGTCTGAATCCACACACTGCACCTGCAGCTCCACACTCACTTTAAGGACAACAGGTCAGCAGGTTGCTAACGAGCCTCTGCTTTATTATGATTGTTATTTATTAATATTTACCTGCACCTTTAGTTAGTATGACCTGAACCCTTCAGCCTGTTTCAGAGCTCACCTGTGTCGGCCTGACCGTGATGTACTCTGGATTATCTGTGTCTGCATGAGTCCAGCACTGACACTTTTGGGGCAGAAAGTCACAGGCTCATTTCCTTCTTGTTTCCTTACAATCAGGTCTTTAAGTCTGACGTCATTAGCCATGTCTGGGCCCAAACTCTGCTGCAGGTCCCAAAGTCAAATGATCACTGTAGCATTACTGAGAGTTGAAAAACTTCTAAATTCTTTCATCTTTAATAAAATGATCAGCGTTGCTGCTTTACCAGGTGAAACAATTACGTTTAACATCCATGAAAACCAAATTTATTACATTTAACAGAGTTAGAAGTTAGCAGGAAGTTAGCTCGCTAGCTTCCACCTAAACATGATATAGCATGTTCTGACTGAGAGATTTCTTAAGCATTCAAACGTACAGCTCTGCTATCACTTCCAACATAAATGAAGACAGGAAACTAAACAGCAGTGACGTTTGTAGGGTTACTGAAGTTGGGCTAGCTGGTATATAATGATGTGCTACGTGGCCGCTAGCAACACAGCTATGTTAGCATAAACACAGTGAAGCTGGAGGATGAATGCTAACTTTTTTCCACTTGATAAAAGTTAACTTGATGGTTCGGGACAAATGCAATCGCATGGCAGGATGCTGTAAACGGACCAAACTTCAGTCAGGAGAACAACTGAGATAATCCATCCACAATACGAGGTTAGTCATTAATATACTGCTGCTGGGCTGGAGTTACATCGTGAGGTTTAAAACTGAGCTTTAAAACGATTAGCGGTAATAAAACCGAAAGAGGCCGACAGCAATCACTGACTGTTTTTAGGGGCTTGTTGAGATTAAATAGAACAAGATACAAAGCATTAAAACATATTAAAAACACAAAAGCCTTATTAAATGCAGACTACTTCGGGCCTGGAAGCAGGACTCATCATGTCATCACTTAAAAACCGAATAGCAGATTTTATTCATTTTACAAACTCAGGAAGTCAAATAACGACTTTTTAATAACGTGTTCATGGACACACTCAAAGAAGCAGCTGCTGGACAAACAGTCCAGGTTAAGCTGGTCATGCTGCAGCCGTGGCAAAGAATGCAAACCGTTTTTATTATTTTTGTCTGATTGGTCACAATCCTCAAATCTGCCCAGAGACAGTGAAAGAAGGATGCTGATTGGCCTAAACTGCCCCGGAACTCAGAGCTCAGAAAATGAAAGTGAAGACTCTCTGAGACACAGACGGATCGAATACGGATCAGGACCAACCGGAATAGATCAGGACTGATCAGCTTCATCGACATGTTTGTCCTGCAGCTGATGTTGATGTCTCTGTTGCTCCACCGCACCATGAGCTCAGGTAGTGAAAGCTGCTGTGCTCACCTGTCTGACTGTACCTGTATCTGTCAGTGTTTGGTTATCTGTTCGATTCAACGTCCTGATTAATTCAATCATGCAGAGACTCAAATGTCACATTTTTAAATCAAAGGTAAAAGATAAAAACATGGTTAGTGATTTCACCGATGGACCTGTGATGTCAGACTGATTTTACAGGTTCAAACTTTTTAATCTCTCTGTACATTTAAAATGTTGCTCGGCATCGTGTAAAAACTGGATTCAAACTTGATTTTAGAAAAGGAAGAAAAAAAAAAAAAACCCTAACTTTGACAGCATTTGTAAGGATTTCGTCATGTTAGGGCTGTGTGGCAGGCAGGGATTGACCCAAAGTGCAGATTCAACAGAGGCGAAAGTCTAAGTCAAAAAGCAGCTTTATTACTGAACAAAAAAACATACAAAACCTAAACTGGGAATCAGGAAAACTAAGCATACGTGGAGGCACACAGGGAAACACACAGCATGAGGGAGAAACACAGGGCTACACTGAAGGATAAAGAGGGGAATGAGACACAGGTGGAGAGCACAGCTGGGCGTAATCTGACATGACAACACCAGGGGAAGCAAAACTCAAAACACTGACATAGGACACAGACTTTCAAAGTAAAATAGGAAACATAACAGACGCGGACTTGACGAGGGGATACAGCTGACAGAGAACAAAGGGAACACACCGGCAGGGATGAGTGTACACTAAACAGAAGGAGCACAGAACCACAACCAAAGAACTAGAACACAAGAAATGCAAAGGACCTGAGAAGAGGGGAATACTGGAGACAGAAATCAAAACCAATAGACTAGCAAAAACACATCATGAAATCAAGGATAACTAATACAAACAGAAAAAGTCCACAGACTCAGGACCATGACAGATTTCACACTTCTCCTTTCCCAGGTATTCATCATTTACCACATCATGAAATTATGTGAAATCTAGACATCAGTGTGCCTCGTTTTGTTTGGTAAGATTGTCTTCATATGGTCAGGGAAGAGACTCAAACGACAACTCAACTCTGGAAGACCCGGCTCGACAACTATGGTATGGGGGTCAATATGAAAAAGACTGAATACCTGGAAGGAGACTCCCCAAACTGATGGCACCATCATAACACAGAGTTGAAGTTCCGCTACCTGTGTTCAGTCATCAGCTACAACGGAAATATCACCTCCGATGTCCGAGCACGAATAATGCAGCCTGGTTAAAATGGCGAGAGGTCACTGGTGTACTTTGTGACACAAAAATGCCAGATCGACTCATGGGAAAATGGCTGCGCATGTTGGCCCGCATTGACCACACATGAGCAGGCCCTAAACACCACGATCTCCGTGGTGTTTAGGGCCTGCTCATGTGTGGTCAATGCGGGCCAACACGGAGATGCACGTGCTCCGATGGAGAATGGGAATAACGAGATGGGACCGGGTTATTAACGAGGACATACGGAAGTGACTAGGTGTAGCCGATACCGATACGCATATGGACCGATGGACCGATACCGATACGTAATATCGGATCGGTCCATCTCTAGTTAAATCATTTAATAATTGATCAAAAATATTAAATTTTCAATTCAGTTCAGATCAATTTTATTTATATAACACCAAATCAGAACTAGAATACTTTATTAATCCCTGAGTAGTCTAAGGAGCCCGGGAAGAAAAGCGTCTGGACTTCTTTAAGTTGCTTGAAGACGTTTCATTCGAGAAGCTTCTTCAGTTCTGAGGTCAAATGTCCCAGCCATGTGGGGCAGGTCTGTCAGCACACAGAGCTGAGTGAGAGGGGCTGTTATTGTGTGTGTATATGAATCTCTCACCCCAACCAATCACAGCAGATGGCCCCGCCCCTCCCTGAGCCTGGTTCTGCCGGAGGTTTCTTCCTGTTAAAAGGGAGTTTTTCCTTCCCACTGTCACCAGAGTGCTTGCTCATAGGGGGTCATATGATTGTTGGGATTTTCTCTGTATGTATTATTGTAGGGTCTACCTTACAATGTAAAGCACCTTGAGGCGACTGCTGTTGTGATTTGGTGCTACATAAATAAAATTGAAATTGAAATTGAATGATAGCAAACATTAAAACACATTTCCTGCACGCAGAAATGAATTTTCCTTGCTTGAAATAATTTTGCTGTCAAGATAGAATAGAATAGAATAGAATAGAATAGAATTC